CCTTTTTAGTCCCATAATGTCGTATCTTGGGGGCGATTTGCATATTTTTCTTGCTGGTTCTACTTTACTCACATAGATAATTTTCAGCAGCTGCTGATTTTCACGTAGGACTGACTGTTTTAATGTGTACGTGCTGAATATTTTTCTCGCTAAAACTTTTATGTACTCCTGATCCAGTTATACCTATACTTTAAATGTCTTAATTGTTTTGTAGATATAATAACTTTTCATTTAAGGGATTAATGACGGATGAACAAGTTGCGAACTGCCCTATATTAGTGCTGGGTAACAAAATTGATAAACCGAACGCCATATCTGAAGATCAACTCAAGGCATCCATGAGCCTTTATGGACTAGCAACTGGAAAAGTTAGTAATTTTTCTGTCTATTTTTTACAGCCGCCGATGACATATCTCTCGAATGTATCGTATGAGAAGTATAAGTAAAAATCAAAGCATTGGCACAAAAAATGAGATAACGTTGCTTGTCCCTTAATAAAAAATGTTACGTGTAAATAAATATTAGCGGGGTAGTTATGAAGTTACACACGATTTTTCAAATGTTAGGATCAATTTTTAGGCTAGTTATATAATTAGAATTGGTGTTAGTTAAGTCAGTGAAGGTCAGGTTCATGGTAATGTGCGATCCAAGGTAAAACCTCGTATTTTCTTCGTTGAAATTGATTCGTTTTGATTAGTTTTCCATTGGAGTAAATGTATGTTCCCCTTGGCATTCATGATGTATTTAGCCTGCTGTGATGAAGGTGATTACCGTAAGTTTTTCACCCAAACTCATTGTTTTTGAAGAAGCCAACTTAATGTATTTTGAGTATTATAATTATTAATCATTACACATGCACATTCTAATCCTATACGGTACATGCGTATTCTGTATGTTCTGATGTAGATAAAAGCCATGCTCATTTGTGTATGTATGCAGCTGAAGGGCCAGGCGGAACAATTTTGCACTAATCACTTGCTGTCCAAGAGCGATGCGGCTGAAACAGATAATGCCGTGAAAGTGATTGTACGACATCCACTAAAGTAAGGTTCATCTATGGGACACTGTTTAAGGGAAGAACCTTTCTGCCACTGTGGCTTCTTGAAACGGTGGCTGTCATTTGCAAAATTCGATTTGCCGGTATTCTTCTAACGTTTGTACACTGCCTTGATTTCAGGGGAACATCGCTAGAAGCGAGTTGTCGACAAGACCACTTGAAGTGTTTATGTGTAGTGTGTTAAAACGTCAAGGCTATGGAGAAGGATTTCGGTGGTTAGCTCAGTATATCGACTAAATGTTAGCGAGATATTATCGAAAAGAAAGGTATTACTTCGGTCTTGGTATTTGGGGCTTATAAAAGTCGTTTAGGTGTTCTGAAGGCGCTGGAATACGTATTTATAATAGAAAGTTCTTTCACGTGAAGGAGGAACATCGTTTGTTTCAGGTTGAACTTCTTCAGGTGTAAGCCTGTGTTAAATTGTTCGATGTATCCTTTGACGCGCTAACTATTTCAAAATATTAATTTTGCATTATACTGCAGAAAGCATATTTTAACAAATGACGATTTTCATGGGTGTGCAATAAAATTAATTGTGTACAAATGCGTTTACTGTATATATACAGTTCCAAATGAGTGGTACTGGGTAACAGATTTATATATCACTCAAAATCGATTCAGTTACACTAATAGGAGGTGGCCAAACCTGCCGTTATATACAAGTTCGCATTTCGCGCTGCTGCCCTAACGTTGTGCGCTTTGCACAGCATGTTAAGTGCATGTTGCGTATTACTCTTGGGGTTCTTGCCCGCACTGTTGCCATAGCGATTAGTAAACCAACGAACCATGACCCTGCCGAAGGCAGCATTGTATATCGTCGGTCGCTTATTACAACAAAGCGGTCTCTTACATGTATCTCTTGGTATGCCTCTGGATCCTCTCCAAGAAAGGAACGCGGATCCCCTTACGAATTTTTCAACCCGTTAAAAGTCGCAGTATCAGGAAAACTTTTCATGGGTAGCCCTGCACTCGTCAAATAGGCCAATTTTTGAACGGTTCTTTGTGTCAGAGGTTTTGCGTGATACAGAGGAATCAGATTAATCGCTTGGCTCAATGATATCGTATTAAGTTTAGTTTCTGTACATGATCACGTTCAGGCCGGTGTTGATGTTCTGATAGAACCAAATCTCGGAGAGAATCTTTGAATAGAATCCTGTGAGGGGAAGAGTGGCATTTCTGTGACAGAAGTTTCAACAGACTAAAGTTTTGACCTTGCTACAGATCAATGCGTTCAGTTTACAGCGAGACCTTCCTTGAGGAAGTGGAATATGTTTCATACGTAATGCCGACTACCTACTTCATACGTTATGCCTCGTTCTCACGGACTATTTTAATGTGCATGGTAGAGCAGACACTGAAATGTTAAAGGGCGTGATTGGAAAGAATGGCCCTAGCGCCCTCAGCAGTGTCTTTTGCACTGTGTATAATTAATCAGCGCTTTGCACTATTTATCATGAAGTATGCTCACGTGTCAATCAAGACCAATGCAAAAAATTGTAAAAACGAAAGTTATCCATGAGATCAACTAGGTAATTGACGGAACCAAGTGGAGAACTCAGTATTTGCTTCCATAGAAAACCGTGGAACGAGAATAAACGCCAGTGCATGTAGGCACCAATATCAATTGGAACAATCACGTCGAAGTTGCACATTAATGCAACACAGCAAATGAACAAGGTCAAGGAAAACCTGTTATGTAAATCTGCTGACGTCTTTTAAAAGTACTTGCGTTCAATAACTTTGCGCTCTGGCCTTCGTACTTTCGACTTGTAGCTGCAACATGGGAAATTTAGACACCTGGCTCAGTTAAGCAATGCGGATCCTGCATGATACCCCCCCC